GTATGCACCCATGATGGGTTATGAGATCTCTTACGACAAGTATCATGAGTTCAAACTGGATATTGACCAAGTTCTCAGGGAAAATGAACACCTTGGCGCAGAAAATTTCTTTGGAGCAGAGGATCCTGATTTAGTGGACGATGATCCAGACACTCCTCTTCCAGATCTTCAAAGACCAGGCGCGGGTGATCCTGAGTACAAGCACACTATTGAAAGTTTGAACATTGAGGACAAGCATATCATTTTGGAAACTGATGATGACAAATTGGTTGAGTGTACATTGAAATGGATCAGTATGTGCAATCAGAATGTTCAACAAAAGATCAAGGACAGTTTTGTCAAACCAGAAGAACGACAAGAGAAAGAAGAGGATGAAGAAGAGGAGATTGCTGTCGAAGAAGAAGAAGAAGAAAAAGACACACAGGAGCCACATGTCCCAGCTGAAGGCTCTTCAGAGAAAGAGGAATCAGCTCCACCTGAACGCTCCTCAGAAAAGGAGGAATCAGGGGAGAAGAAGACAGACATTCAAGATGATGAGACAGCTCCTGAAGTGAAACCTGCAATTCGACTTTACTATGGTCAAGATATCACTGGAAACGAAGATGATTCAGTTTTTCGAAAATTGAAGGATTGTTTTTCAGATGGTTACCATGGTGAATGGGCAGGATTTTACAACAAAGGTTATCCAGCGTCTTCGAAGCATCGACACATGTTTTGGCATGTCAAGTACAGGAAGACTATGTCTCCACATCAAGATTATTGGTACCATCTTACAGATGACCAGTTGATGATTGAGTACATTGCCAGACACAAGGATCAAAATCCACAACTAGAACTACAAGAACTCAATAATCACATTGAATATGGTTGTAGTGATCCAAGGATGCATCCTCTTCATCAAGACAAGGCAGAAAGATCCTCAAAAGAAGCAGAAAAGAGGATTGATGACGATTTTGGAAATCTCACAAGGGTACTCCAAGATTACGTTGAGGACCACAAGGTCTTGCCTTACTGTATGATCTTGCATAGCTTGGCTTACAGATATTTAGGTGGAGGCCTATCAGACCCAACATACAAGGATGCCGAATTTCCATACAGATCCTCTCCACAGATAACAGCAATGTTTTGGAATTTGGGAAACTGGTGCAGAAACAGATTTGAAAAATGCCCGGTTCCAGAAAGATTTCAACAATTCATTCCACACATTGACTACACTATCGATGAGGATCATGAAAAATTTGATGAAACCAAATCACAGTTCAACAATTACTTCATCAATGTCATCAAGAACTTTGGAGGACATCTTTTCATGAATTGCGAGGCTGGTTCATTGTATCCTCACAGAGAAAGACTCGACGAGGTTGACTTTAAAACTTGCTTCAATGACTATCATGACTTGATGGTGGCAGCTCGCCTTGGAAAGGATGGCTATATCAAGCAAATTGCTGGATATCACACAGATGACAACGACACACGAGTTCGACAAGTCTCATGGGCAATCTTTGAAGTATCTTGGGGAAAGACAAAGGATCGAGATACAGATGAGATTGTTGACTTGACAAGAGCTAGAATGAGGATGACACGTGTGTGCGTTTATCACGTCGGACAGAAGTATGCATCAGACTCTGCTGGGATTGTTGGTGAGTGCTTAGCTGTTATGGCTTTTGAGTGTGCCAGATATCAAGTTGACTTCATCGCAGGTGATGGAAACAAGGCATGCTATTACAGCACACCAAAATCTCCAGGTGTCCCTACATACCAACATAGCCTTATCCAATTCTGGATTAACAGAATGATGGGTGTTGCAACACAAGCCATGCGCAAGCATTTGATACATCTTGCCCTCCAATCAGGGTCAAGCATTTCATGTCTTGCAGTTATCGTGACTTGGATTTTCTTGCAACGCACTTGGATGGCATTACAACAGCAACATACACCGACGAGCTCATGAACAAGACAAATGGTAAAGGTGATTGTTGTATGTTAACAGTTGTTGAGTGGGGTCATTCACGTTTGATGTGTGAGGAACACCCAGAAGACTTTGATGGAGATGAAGATCGCATGAACTATGTGGGTGAATTTTACTTCAAGGTAAATGAAACTTGCTTACATGGTGATCACAACATCTTCATGGTTGCCCCAAATGATCGTGATGCTCACAATCCAATTCTTGTTCATCTTGATCCTTCTGATATGTCATGGAATGAACGACATCATTACAAACAGGCTTTCAAGAAGAAGCAGTATGCAGATACAAGAAAGGAAAGACAGAAGGAGAAAAAGAGAAAGGCATATGAAGATCAAGCATCAACGTATCAGGGCAACGTTAGTTGGGGTGGATCCTCATCTTCAGCGTCCAGACCATGGAGATCAAGTGAGTGGCGATGAGTGAGTGTACACTTCTTTAAATGAAGATAACACAGCATGAGAGGCCGTGTACAGTTTTTCTGTGCGTTCAACTTATTTCACACAGATGGCATATACTCTTTTAGATAGAGATAATGCCACAAGTGTCTGAACTACAATTTAATGTAAAATAGAGACTCTTGTAAATAGAGAAACTATAAACATTTATCTCCATGAACTTTCTGCGAGCAGACCACTCCGAATGGAGCGAACTCCAAAAATTACCAACTTCGATTTCAGTCCATTGTTTGCTTGAATGAGCAACTTTGGAGATCCGCTATTTCCGTTTATTTCGTGATTTGGTCAATTGTTTTTCGTATGACCTGAATTTCTGAATCTTGCGAACCCGAACTTTTCAATTCGAACTTTCACCGGTAGAGCGAGGCATTTTGCCTATGGAGAGACCGTGCGCGAAGCACCATTGGTCGCTACTGGAAAAATTAGCGAATCCGCTGTTCTTTTTCGACATGTCCTTAGGACATTCGCTGCTTTCACGTGTTTTTCAATTCGAAGCCACTGCGTAACTCCGGTTTCTTTTGCTATTTGCCATTGTGTAGAGAAGTCAGGAAGATACTCTTAATACCAATTGGGTACGGCAAGGCGTAGTGCTCTACTCATTGCTTTTGAATTTGTGCCTGTGTTTTTGTTTCGACCTAATACCTACATAGGTACATGCATGAGTATTGAGCACATTTATATGCGCCCTTCAAGGCTCAAGAGGTATATAGAGTAACCCTGTAGACAAGCACGACCGGCAACAGGCTGAGTAAAACAAGTGCTGTCATTGGGGAAGACGCCTTAGCTGATCTTGAAGTAGACGCTAGGGCCCCTCTTCAGCCCTCCCCCCAATCCCCCCCTCCCGCTTTTTTTTATTTAAACTTAAACCCAAGTTACATTAGTTGGTTTTTGCGAACTAACCTTCTCTGGAAAGCTGACAGGATTACATGTGATAGATAGATAGATGGATAAATAGATAGATAGATAGATAGATAGATAGATAGCTGGATAGATAGATAGCTTGGTAGATAGATAGCTAGATAGATAGATAGCCAGCTAGATAGATAGATAGCTAGAGAGATAGATAGCTAGATACCTGGATAGATAGATGGCTAGATAGATAGCTAGATAGATAGATGGCTAGATAGATAGCTAGATAGATAGCTAGCTAGATAGATAAAGAGGTAGGTAGATAGATAGCTAGATAGATAGATAGATAGATAGCTAAATAGATAGGCAGATAGTTAGCCAGATAGATAGATAGCTAGATAGATAGCTCGATAGCTAGATAGCTGGATAGACAGCTGGATGGCTAAATAGATAGATAGCTAGATAGATAGAAAGCTAGATAGCTAGATAGCTAGATAGCTTAGCTAGATAGCTCGATAGCTAGATAGCTGGATAGACAGCTGGATGGCTAGATAGATAGATAGCTAGATAGATAGAAAGCTAGATAGCTAGATAGCTAGATAGATAGTTAGCTAGATAGCTAGATAGGTAGATAGATAGCTAGCAAGATAGCTAGCTAGATAGGTAGATAGATAGCTAGATAGATAGATAGCTTGCTAGATAGATAGCTAGCTTGCTAGATAGATAGCTAGCTAGATAGCTAGATAGCTAGCTAGCTGGATAGATAGCTAACGCCCTCCCTCAATCCCCCCCACCCGCTTTTTATCTAATCCCAAGCTTCTGCATCTGTAAATATTTGGGTGAACATGCTCGCATGTAGAACATCCCATGCAAAATGGAAGGTGAACATGCCAACATGTGGCAAATACCATACAAAATGGAAGGTGAACATGCCCACATGTAGGAAATCCCATGCAAAATGGAAGGTGAACATGCCAAAATGTGGCAAATACCATACAAAATGGAAGGTGAACATGCCCACATGTAGTAAATCCCATGCAAAATGGAAGGTGAACATGCCCAAATGTGGCAAATACCATGCAAAATGGCAAATTCAAGTTCCAAACCGTTGCAAACACTAGGCAAATGGTACCAGCCAAGAAATCCAAAAAAAATTCCCAAACCTGCTCAAAAAAAATTCCTAAAACTATTTCACACCCCTTCCAAAGTGGTCCGACCATGGTGTGTTTTGTACATTTTGACTTGGAAATGTGCTGCGCGCCACAACGGCGTGCAATTTTTGATCTCTCATCTGGCCAGCTGGCTCCGCACCCGCCGCTTTAGCGAGCCTACCTTTCGACCCTCCGGAGCCACAAATCATTGGAAAAACGCAGTGTTTCGCGACTTTCCTACCTTTTCACGCATCTGCATCTTCTTTCTTCTGACTCTTTCTCTTCTACTCTTCTTTCTTCTAATCTTTCTCTTCTCTCTGCCTCTTCCCTGCTCTGCTTTTCATCTGTCCATATTGTCGGAAGTTTGACTTCTAAACTTCCTTCGATCATCCCATATACATACAATGTGTGTTTTCTAAATTGATGCGATTCACGATCCCTAAAATTGATGATATCCAACCTTCAACCATCCAATCGTTGATTTCCCATTATTGTTCCAATTCGGAGATTTGTTTTTGGGCCAACGAAGTTTGGCTTCAGGACAGAATTGCACCCATTGAGGGCTCGCTGCGCTTGATGGAGCTTGCTACCTGCCCCCGTCAGCTCGTGTCCGTCCCGGGAGGGCTTCATGCACCGCATTTCAACAAGGGGCCTGAGGTGCAATTTGGCCCAAAAAAGCAATGTTAATCATGTGAACGGTTGCACCGGTTGGATTGGTTGATCATTTAGTTGAACATGGTTATTAATTATTGTTTGATTGATTGTCGATCGATCAATTTTGGATATTGTTGGTAGAATGTTGGTAGAAGCAGAAGGTGATTCAAACACCCTTCGAAACAATTGGCCAAACTACTTTCGGGCCCACTGCTCAGGTGCAGGTGGCTGTGCATAAATTCCTTCGAGCTCACCTGCAGTGTCGTTCGTGCGCCCCTGCTGATTCTCAGGATGACCAAGTTGGTGAGGATGACGAAGACAATGAATATGGTGACGAATATGAGGGTCAGCTTCCAGAAGAAATAGAAGGCTCCACGTACAAAGATTCAGCGACCCTTCCCCTGGCACTCCAACGCTTGAAGCTTGAACGCCCTGCGTTTGAGCGCTTTCCATTGCCCAGCAAGTGCCATGAAACCTTAGTGTTGCTGATTTACTTGGTGACTTTGTTGGCCATTGCATCGAGCCCAACCATCATGGCAGCACATAGTCCAACAGCAGGCGGATGGACTCTGGTAGGCTTGGGCTTGGGATTGCAAGCGGCGTCACCTGGCAAGAATGTTCACCTTCAGTTAGAATGTGCTTCAGCAATCTTGAGCAACTGTAATGTGCTAAATCAAGGATAGCAACCATCAATAACTGTCAATAATCAACATTGGCGGTTAACTATTGCCAACACTGGTGGTGAACAAGATCTAACTACTGATGGGTGAACGACATGACTCTTTGTCCATTCATTATATTTATCCTGTTGTAGTGGCAGGTGTTCCCCAAATCTGCAAGCCTTTGCGTTGGGGCACATAGCTCAGGATGCTGTTCATTTGTATGAACTACCTCCGGGCCATTTTGAAGACGAGGCGGGCTCGTCGCCAGCCGAAGCTCCCATTGACGACGGTGTCGTTTGCAATCCTCGTTCCCATGTACAACGAGGAAGTGGAAGTCCTTCGGCCAGGCTTGGTGAGCATCAATGAGCAACCTCAGGCGAGATGCCAGAAACTTTGCTGGGTAATGACATACTGCCAAGGATTATGGTAATCCAAGATGGAAATCTCTGCCATTCCACGGACATTAAACTAGGATTGTGCCATCTTTACCTATCATTTGCCTATCTATACTCTTCTGAATATACTGTACTGTAAAGATCTGTCGAGGGTATTGGCGGCGCCTCAGGCTCCAAACGTTACGGTGATCGTTGGCTTAGAAGCCCGTGCTGGCCAAGAGAGCAATGCAGAGAGGGAACGCGCCGTCCGAGAGATTTTGTCGAGAGTGAAGGCCGTCCATGTCTTCACCCATCCTGAGAAGGTTCCCGGTCACATCAAAGGCTGTGGCAGCAACCAATCCTGGGCCATGAACCAGTTCTTGGAGCATGTGGAAGAAGACGTTGCTTGGTGGGGTGAACATGGGTGAAAAAATAATAAAACATATGTTGTAAGAAGTAACATATTATTCTTTACACTGGCTAATATTTATCACTTGAGAAATGTATAAGGTTAATAATTACTTTACATATTAACCGTATACATTATTTAATATAGTTATTTTAATCCGAAACTTCTAATTTATTTTTATCACCCTTATTCATTTCTAAATTCTTTTGATGCTTCTTTGTTTTTATGAGAAGCACAACTGTGCTGACTAACAAGTGCAGTTTGGTATCTCATTTGGGATGGTGGGTGGGATTTGAGGTCCCGGGCCAATTTTGGCTCAAGTATTGGGCCTTGGATCTCACCGCTGATGTGGTATGCCGCGAGTCGCCATGTCAGCATTGTTTGGTCCGTGGGAAGATATGGCCGAGATAAGGACCCTAGACGATATCTTGGACCACTTCTCAGTCGCAGAGCGCATATGGAGGGCATTTGAAGTTCAGGTGGGGTCACCAGGAAGTGACCTGCGGCTCCTGGCCGCCCTACCGAAAGTGGCCCTCATAACTGGCTGCGGTCATGCTCAAACTGACCGAGGGAAACTTCACCCCGATACAGGCGACTCAGGTGGGTTTGGTGTGGCGGCTGGCCAGGAGAGCAGTAGCTATGCAGTCTGGGGTGGATGAGAGACAGTTCATCGACATAGACCCTTGGATGGAGGCAGTAAGTGAAGCTGCTTCATCGGTTGTCCCAGGAGATACAGTTCGACCTGAACATATGGGGCGATCGAGTGGAAGCGTGAAGGAGCGCGTGCTCAAAATGAGCTCCTTGCTGGACCAGCAGGACGAGTCAGAGTTGTTGCCACCAGCTGCAAGCGAGGTGGACAAGTGGTATCAGAACTACATCATGGTGATGGGCTTCGAACCAGACGAGGCTGAAGAACCTACTTCGGCGCAACTGGCAGCTCTGCACAAGCGGGTCTACAGTCTACAGTTGAGAACAGGGCCCCATATGCAGACTTTTCAGTTTGGACCCCTTCTGAGAGGAGATGGGCAGGGTGCAGAAGTGCAGAACATTCACCCCACTTGGGGATGGCTCCTACTTGCAGAAGGATTTGCCGGGCCCTGGGAGTCACAGTGCATGGAGGGCATCATGGTGACAATAGAGTCGGCTCAGAACAGGCAGGTGCCGAGAGATTGGGACCCTATACGTCTGTGGTCCTGCATTTTCATACAGTTGGCCCAGGACATGGAATATTGGGCTGACAGAGTTCACCACCTGGCTGCAGCTTGGACAGCATCAGGAGGCCGAGGAGCACCAACAGTGGCTACGGAGGCAGCAGTCCTAGAGGTGATCCAAGGTGGACAGAGAGCCTTAAACACAGAGGCCGAGGCAACTTCGAGTCAAGGAGATTCGAGACGAACGCAAGCCAACCGTGACAGGCATCAAGCCAAGAAACGGAGGATGCGGCTGACAGGGAAGAACTTGCGAGGCACAGGTCATCGGCAACAAGCGGTGCGAAAGGAGGCCCATCCCCCAAGGGGAAAGGAAAAGGAAAGTCAAAGGACCAATCAGGTCTTGAGATTTGTTACAGCTGGGCCTCAGGTCGTGGAAGCTGTGCCGACGTGCCACCAGGTGGAGAATGCCGTGGAAGCGTCAAACGTATCCACAAATGCCGCCTTTGTCTTTCACCATCCCACAAGGATGCCGATTGCAAATCTGGCTGACTCCAAGGACGAGAAAGCGAAAAGGAGATCGTGGCATCATGACTTTGGAAAGTTGTACTGAAGTTGTCTCCTTTCTTTCTTGTTTGATTTGGGGTTGGCTGGTTTGGGAATTGGTTTCAACTGAGGGAGTTTTATGTTTGTCGGTTGTTTTAAAACCTGAAGAAACGTGCAAGCGAAACTTCATAATTACTGTGTTTGCTGCAGCTTGGATGGCATGACATGTTGACTCACCATGACACATGTTTGCAAGCCAGTAGCAACGATGCATCGACAGGGAAACTTGAAATGCATTGCAAGCCATTTGAGCAGTTGGCTTGAAGCTTTTCAGGTGAAATTTGAATTGGATTTCGTAGCCGTGAAGGCTGCAGCTGGCTTTCTCCGCTAGCCAAAATGGCTAGTGGGTCGAAGGAAGCCCCAGGTGAGTCAGACAGCACCTCGTCTCCAGAATTGGAGGGGACGAGCAACCAGTTGCCAAGACTGTGAAGGCAGTTCCCGCACTGAGCAATGTGGAGGCAGAGATCGAAGAGCCAGACACAGGCGGGGAAGCTTTAACTGGAGGCCAAGGTGATCGAGACAAAGTTCAACTTGGCGAAGGGCCGAAAGAGTCAAAAGACAAGGAGGACCCGCCGAGACCTTGGGTTCCCAAACGAGTTCAAGCTGCCCTCAACAAGAGCTCAACTTTCGATGAATATAGGAAGAACAGAGACTTCAGATTTCTTCGCATGTTTTCTGGAGAGAAAGATCAACTAGGCGAGTCTATAAGGAGGGAAGCTAAGTCTGCCAGGCTGGAAGTCTATGTCGAGTCACTGGACCGAAAGAAAGATGTACTTGAACTTGGCAAGTCATGCAACGTATGATGAGATTGACAAGTCGGTCGAAGAAGGTGACTGGGATGGGTTTCATAGCGGCTTCCCATGTGGATCTTTCAGCAGGGTGAGATGGAGGGACTCGCCGGGTGGAGCACATCCTGTGCGAAGCATGGCACACATCTATGGACTCCCTGGCAACACCCCCATGCAACAGAAAGAGGCCGACGAGGGCACCTTAATGGCAGTGCGTTCAGCGTGGCTCCACAAGAAGCAGATCGAGACGTGCAAGCGCAGGGCCATTCGAGACGTTAGAAAACCCTCCAGGGGCAGAGAACACGGGGTCAGCCTGGGACGTCCCAGAAATGAAAGCGGGAAGGAGACAAAGTCGTCCTCGGCGGAGTTCAATACCTGCCCCTTCCAGAGCAAGTTGAAGAAGCGCTGGATAGCGCTGGTACAAGCCCGCCAGGTGGGTCGGAAAACTGGAGTCTTTGAACTCGTTGTCAAAGGTCTGCAAGTGCCCGGCCTGGGTGGAACAAGTGCCTCTTGTCGGAAAACACAACACCGAGGCAGCGGGAGCCTATACCCGGAGGAGCTCACTCAGGAAATAGCTCGGAAGGTGGTCAACACTTGGAAGAGGGTCCTGAACTTAGAGTGGCTGAGGTGGCAGATTCATTGGTCAGTGAACTCCAAGCCAAGTGGCTTAAGAACGAAGAAAAGAAGAGAAATAGGGAGTACGACGACGCGGAACCAGTTGCCACCAACCCACTGTCAACCGAGAAAAGGTTCGACAAGGTGACGTCAAAGGCGGTGGAGGCCAAGCCCAAGGAGACGGAAGAGCTCCCATCTTCTTCAGCTGGACCTTCGAAATGTCAGAGGAAGGAAGAACAGAATGACTTCTCTATAGGGGGAATGAGAAACCCAGCTACGGCGGTGGCTCGATTGCACCAGGTGAAGAAAGTTGGGGAGCAGATAAGTGCGGCATGGCTGGACTTTGTGAAGGACTTCCCAAAAGCACTGGAAGCTGCAATCCATTACGGGTCCAACGAGGCAAAGATCGACAAGACGGTCATGGAAGCCTGGCGTGACAGGCTAGAGAGCCTCCTTGGGGTAGAACCACAAGATGGGGTTACACTCAAGGAAGCTGTGGAGTTCTCATCGCCCTTGTATGCCCCGCTATGGGACGCCTGGTTCCAGGGACCCAGAACAGTTCTTGGGGCAGTGGGCGAGGGATGTTCCCTTAGGTGTGGACATGGAGATCCCTGACTCAGGAATCTATCCAAGGATAGAGGCGGAAGAAGCGTTGGAGACAAAGATGGACATGGCATCCTCAGGGATTGAAAAACTATGAGTCAGTGGCATCCTCAGGGATTGAAAAACTATGAGTCAGTGGAATCTCAAAAGGAGGAAGCGGTGTTAGAGGTGGACCGCTACGTTGACAAAGGTTTCTGCAGGGTCATGACCCTGGAGGAGGTGAGAAAGCGGTTCCCGGAAGGGACAGCATCGCGCTTGGCTCTGATCTTGAAGCAGAAGCCAGACGGATCCACGAAGAGGAGAATTGTGATTGACATGAGATGATCAAAAGGAAATGAGAGGGCACAGGTAAAAGAGAGGATAGTGCTCCCTCGAGCTCAGGACATAGTCAGCAGCTTGAGAGTGATGCGGTCCAGGGAGAAAGAACTTCGAGACCAAGGAGAACCCAGGTCCGTGCTGAAGGGCTCGAGGTCATACGAGGATGCGGAGGTAGAGTTCGTCCTGGTGGACCTTCAGGACGCATTCTGCCGCTTTGGCGTCCATGCACAGGAGCTGAAGCACTGCATCAGCCCGGGGATGGAGCACGGCAGCGCCATCCTTTGGGTGGAATGTTTTTTGGCTTCAAGGGGGCCCCACTTATCATGGGGAGATTGAGTGCAGCCATAGGGCGATTGGTGCAGTCTTTGTTCCATCCAGCAGCGGGGCAATGCCAGGTCTACATTGACGATGTAGCCCTCATGATCAGAGGGAGCAAGGAGTTGCGCAACCTGCAGCTGGCGAAATTCTTGTACGTCCTGGCAGCTTTCGGCGTACAGATCTCCATGAACAAGGGAGAGCGAGGCAAGCAAGCGGGTAACATGGATAGGCACCACGTTCCAGCTCCATCCAAATGAGGTCATCCTGGGGACGCCGCGGAAGTTGGTCTTAGAGATCCAGGAGACGCTGGCGGCATGGACCGGAAAAGGGATGATAGCGACGAGGGAGCTGAGGTCCTTCTTGGGCAAACTGGCATGGGTGTCGGGCATCATACCACGGCTGAAGTGGATGGTATCCGCATTGTATGCAGTCCTCACCAAAGCCTTCAAGGAGGAAGCTTCTGAAGAAGACAGAGCCCGCAAACGCCCGCATGACCAGCGACCCAAGCTCGGGGTAGTGGCGGTCAAAAGGCTGGGCACCACGCTACCCTGGCTCAAGACCATGTTCGACAATCCGGATGATCTTCTCATCCGCCAAGAAAGCCTGAATGAAGTGGAGCCGAACTGGGGCATTGTCACAGACGCCTCACCTCGTGGAATTGGAGGTATGTTGATCCACAATGTCAACGAAGAATGGCACATTGTAGAGGAATTCGAAGCCCCCGTTCAGGCACACCAGGCCACGGCGTTGGAGATACAGTTCATGGAGGCATCTGGACAAGCGGTGCTCGAGGGACTTGCAGTCTTGAGGGCACTGCAATTGTGGGCCACAAAGCTCCAACGCGCTGCAGTGGTCATTCGTTCAGACAGCACAGTGGCCCTGGCAATGTCGAAGAAGCTGGCGTCTCCTACAAAGACGCTGAACTATCTGGCAGCTGAGATAGCGTTGCTCCTGGAGAAAGCTCGGATAGTTCGCCTGGTACCACAACACATTGCTGGCACCCTCAACAAGGAAGCAGATTGGCTTTCGAGATTGGGCGACCGTGGCGAAATGCCGAGGGCACTTCAACAGGGCAAGCTCCCCAGTGGAGCCAATCCATGCCACACCCAAGCGGGGTGTACGACAGTTTGTGAAGCATCCCTGCCGGCAAAAGTAGGCTGATCCAGGGTGCTCAAGGGAGGGACACCAAGGAAAACATGTGGTCAATAATTGCATATTTGTGTGCTGTGTTGGGCTCATACAACACATTCCCATGCTACATGTGCCAGGTCGTCCTTCCCTTACTTCTCTCACATGTTCCAGTCGCATCGGCTCAAATAATGGAGGTCGTACCATACTCCCCGTGTTTTCCTCGCCAGGAACACGCACTCCTGGACAACCAGCCGCACCACAACCCCGGCGCATGGCTACTTTTCCTGCTGGTTTTCCTGGCAGGAATGTCATGTCAGTCATGTTTGCCGCGGCTATGCCAAATCAGCAGCAGGTGGGGCGGCCGAATTCTGAGGCTAGGCAGTGCATGTTGGGACTGTTTGAGAAGGGAGAGCCGCAAACTACCCCAACAGAGGCAAAGGAGCCCGAGTGCACCACTACGAAATGGAATCCCAAGGCATGGGACGCCTTTGAATACAGAACGCGAGTCCCCACGTTGGCTCAGTATGACAGAGATAAGAGCACCAGAAAACAGAGGAGGGATCAGCCCAAGACGCAGGAGGGCCTCATCACTGTGGCCGCCAAACACATCAGGGCTGAGAACCAACGCAACAACGAGAACAACAAGGGGCGCACGGCAGAGGCAGAAGCCGAGAGCCGAGGGAGAGACGCAGGCGCAGTCATGGGGGCAATGATGGCAGCGGCGAGTCCAAGGAGGTAAAGCCCCAGCACCAGAAGGTACCGTTGCGAACAGTTGGCATCAAAACGCGAGACAAAACATGGGTTAGCAGAGTGAAGAAGTCTTTCATAAAGAAGTTCTATGCGGCATCCACCCTCACGACAAAGAATACCAAGAGGAAACGGGTGACAGAAATCCTGGAGAACATAGTATGCCAGCATTTCCCTCTTACAGGAGACCTCATCACAACTCTGGCTGCAGTGCTGGACTCAACTGGAATGAAGGCAGGTGACCAGTACTTAGCGGAGGCAAAGTTGATGCACATTGAGGCAGGCTTCGAATGGAGTCAGCTGCTTGAAACACAGATGGGAATATGCAAGAGAGCAATGCAACGTGACAAAGGTCCTGCACGTGCGTAGATAGGTGCAGATTTGCCACGGGATGCTGCAAAACGCATTGTAATGGCTGCATGAATGTTGCATGGGCTATGTTTGAGGGAGGAAGCCGGAGCACGAAACCTTGCGTTTTTCCGTGTAAAGTGGCTGCAGCCGGCGATGAAAGGTACCTCGCGTGTGCGGCGGGTGCGGCTGGGGTCGCCTCTGTCGTGTCGCGAATTGATTCCTTCTATGTGTTTTGCAACAATGCTTGTTCCTGTGTGAGTAGTTCTATGCTTTGCTTGAAGCTGTGGTTGCAGATCGCATTGGAATGGCTGCATGAATGTTGCATGCCGTGTGTTGTGGGGAGGAAGCCGGAGCACGAAACCTTGTGTTTTTCCGCGTAAAGTGGCTGCAGCCGGCGATGAAAGGTACCTCCTGGGGTCGTTTCTGTCGCGATCGGTTCCTTCTATATGTTTTGCAACGAGTGGTTGTGTCTGTGTGCGTAGTTCTATGCGGTTCTTGAATCTCTGGTTGCAAATAGCATTGGTGCATGATTGTCGTCATCTGATGTTGCCACGTGCGCAGATAGGTGCAGGTTTGCCACGGGATGTTGCAAAACGCATTGGAATGGCTGCATGAATGTTGCATGGGCTATGTTTTGGGGAGGAAGCCGGAGCACGAAACCTTGCGTTTTTCCGTGTAAAGTGGCTGCAGCCGGCGATGAGAGGTACCTCGTGTGTGCGGCGGGTGCGGCTGGGGTCGTTTCTGTCGCGATCGGTTCCTTCTATATGTTTTGCAACGAGTCGTTGTGTCTGTGTGCGTAGTTCTATTCGGTTCTTGTTGCAAATAGCATTCGAATGGCTGCATGAATGTTGCATGCCGTGTGTTGTGGGGAGGAAGCCGGAGCAGGAAACCTTGTATTTTTCTGTGTAAAGTGGCTGCAGCCGGCGATGAAAGGTACCTCGTGTGTGCTGCGGGAGCGGCTGGGGTCGTTTGGTTCCTAGCTTCTATGTGTTTTGCAACAATGGTTGTTCCTGTGTGCGTCGTTCTTTGTGTTTCTTGAATTTGTGCTTGCAGATCGCATTGGAATGGCTGCATGAATGTTGCTTGGTGCTGCGGCTGCTTGCGTAATACTATTGTCTTTTCCTTTTCCCGCCGGCCAAGAAGTCACAACCTGGTGAAGCAAGCTGCGATGGTACGACAGGTTATTGGCAACAAGCACGAAAGTCAGCATACTGTCGAAGTGAAGTATGCACCACCTTGACTGATCGAGCTCCCCTTGCATGGAACAACTCATTCACATCCCGAAATTGCTGAATGGGAACTGTGAGCAAAACACAGCGCTGCCAGCTGCGAAAAACACTCCCAAATGGAATGTTCGAATTTGTGGCATAAGGCAATCCCAGTGTAACTGCAAAACACTTGACAAGGGCCAAAAAACTGGCTGAAAGGCGGATAAAATCGAAATCTTCTTGCTGGATTGAGTCATCAGCTGGTATCCATTTGCGTTGGACATATTTGAATCCCCATTCTCCAGTGAAAGCTTGAAAGTGTGCATAAAGTTGGTAGCTACTCAACCAAATTGACTGAAGCCCATCTCCAGTCTGCAGATTTCGTAGCCATCTCAAAATTGAGTGAAAACATTGCCCCATCGTATGATCGACAGGTTCTTCCACGTGAGCAGGCAAAATGCCTATACTTGGTTCTTGCTCCGGCGTCTGTTGTTGTCTCCTTGCTTCCCCTTCCCATTCTCCTACTTGCTTGTCCTGCTGCGCGTCTTTATCTTGCATTGCTTTGGATCCTAATTGCACCATGAGCGTGTGCATTGCTACGCATGCTGCTTTCCGCAACTTGACACTGTTGGCATGAGCTTCCCATGCATTACGGAGTGTGGCTGTGAAGTGCTGGCGGGCTTCCACGGCCAACCGGTCAGCTTCAGAATTCCCGCGGATAGCCCAGACTTCGACTGTCTGGGAGAATTCTGCAAGGTTCTGATGTGAAGTGACTTTAATGACATGCTTGATCAACCCTTTATTACGTGCAGTGATAAACAATCTAAACAGTGTACCCCAAAGGTCATGGTCAGTTTGTCCGTTTGGCCTCATCTGACAGAAACCTGTGCAACCTTTTGTATACTGTATCATTGTCGGTCCAAATGCAGAAGGGTCGAGATGTGGTCAGTCCGCAATTCACAGCTGAAATTGTGGCCGTAATTTCTCCTCTCAGTGCTGTTTGCAGTTCCCCTGAAACAATCCCACTCGCAACTGGTACAAAGTTATCCTCAGGCAAATTAGATACACAAACTCCCCATGTGGCGACCCGCAAGCTAGGCACTGTTGGCTCAAGGCATGCTCCATCCACAAAGAAATGCGAAACTAATTGAAAAGGAATCTGACCAGCCGGTTGTCTGGTGGTATCCTGGATCAAGGTCAATGCGTACCTTAACCTAGCATTAGTGTGGTCTTCAACCATCCATCCATGTAAACGAGTGCATTCTGGTTGCTGCTGCAGAAATGCCGGTCATGATCTGATAATTGGTCTCGGTACTGCTGGAGTTGCTCACAGTGCCACAACCTATGGCCCACACTATCCTGCTCACCACAGTATGGGCACAGTTTGGACGGTACTCGCCCTGCGTCATGAATGAAAAATGTTCCATTCATTGCAGTGCGTAGCAATCCCTGTTCTTCTGTGGTGAAAAGGTTTTTAGTGGCTCTTGACAATGGGGCGTCAACCATGCCTAACCCTGTGAACTCTTTCCGTGTTTGCAACATGTGCCCTACATAGTGTGACCATGCATGTTGCAACCTGCTCCGCAAGAGTTGGATCGGGCAATCCAGTACATGAATGAAAAGGCCCTCATGGTCTTTAATCCACCCATTGTGTTCCCATGCCCAACCTACTTGGTTCATGCGCGCAAGCAGGACCCCACACGGGCCAGGTACAACATGTGATGGTGGGTGCAAAACCAAGGCGGTCAAAACTGGAAATGCAAGATCTGGTGAACAGTACTTCCGGAAAAGCATCATTGTGTCCATGAGTGCAAAAAACTCAGGGTCAAAACGCGGATGGATGGCAAGCCCAAACTGGATCACTGATGAGGCCCCAGATTTTTCCCATCGCATGGCTGTCATAGCTTGGGCCCTCATGCGTGTGAAATGGTCACTTCCCAAGGGTATGCTGGCTATTCCATGCAAACATCTGGTCCAGGCAACTGTAGCAATGGCCCTCAGCTTATGCGCCTGAGGAGCGGCGCTTCTTGCAAGGGTACCCCAAAAAGGTGCGGTTTTGGCAATCCTGGCTCGCAAAGCATAGTTGGTTTTGATTTTGGAGTAGCTGAGTTGCCCCCCCAAGTCTTTACCATGCAAGTTCACCTGAAAACCCTGCCTCCTCAGCTCCTGGCGGTCCTTGGTGGTCAGGGCCCACCCATAGGTCTTGGCTTTGTCCAGACGAATGTCAATCATCTGGGAAAACTGGTCAAGGGCAGCAAAGGTGGCACAGGTTGCCTGGATAGAAGAAGAATGAGACTCCCAACTGTCTACAAATGAAATTGTATTGGTTGGTGCAGCCTTCTTCTCCACGATATGATGCATAGCTATGTTAATCAGGACCATGCTGACTACACTTAGCGGGTCTCCTTCCGGATATCCTGTGCAAGACTGGATGCCAAAGGAACATGCTCCCCCTACGATGAAGTGTCGAGTGATGCCTGCAACAGCCATGTGCCAACTACGCATGAAAACTTCCGGCAAACCACAGTGACGTCCTATTGCATAAACTACTGCTCGTGGCAATGTGTTATAGCATTTACAAACGTCAGTGACCAGTCCTGAGAGTTCGTTCTGATCATAGTGAGCTGCTTCCATAAGTTGGCTTAGGTTCCACCAAATGCCTGAGGTTGCATGAGCAGGTCGGTTGCGTTGAAGCCCCTTTGGTGCAAAGCGGTCTAACCATCGCAAACACTGTCGAGCTCTGATTGTGCTCCAAACTCGGTAGACCAGAGAGAGCACTGTGATCTGTCTGTAATCCTGGGGGGTGGAAGCGCCTTCATTCTTTTCAATGGAGGTGATGTGTCCAGCCAAGACGGCCTTTGGCCAGGGTTGCAATCCTTGGTCAATCTGGTTGATTAGGTGCACTAGATGGGTCACTAGCTCACTTGGCATCTGCTGGAGGTCGCTTCTAGCAACTCCATCGGGTCCTTTGGCTGTGGTTGCCTTTTTCTTGGAGACTGCTTGTCTCCATTCGGTCTCGGTGATGGGATCGAGTGGCATAACCTGAGGCACTGCTGGCACATTTTCCTGCAAACATTGGAAAAAAGGCTCCCAATCACTGGGTTGCTTGTCGCTATGGCGGTTCCAGATGGGGTCCCAAAGGCGCTGGAATGCTTGGAAAACCTCCTCTACTTTACCCTGAAAACATTCCTGTGCTAGGGTGTCCCCTACCTCAACTGGGCATTCGCAACTCAGGGTGATGGTTCCGGTTGTGTGGCTGGCTATTGCAAGAAAACCTTCACCATTGGAGATTTCAGTCTCCTGAGAGAACACATGCGGTTGGTAGGTGATGGTGAGACCATCAGAACTGATGTCGGTCACCTGGGCTACATTTCTTGTGACAACTGTCTGAACTGGTAGTGCTTTAGGTTTAGCCACATCCCGATAGACGCAATTTGGATCTGCTATGCGCCTGTCTCTGGCTGATTGTCTTCTATGCTTGAGAAGGGTTCTCTCCAGGGATCTGAACTCTGCTTCAAAACCTTTGTAAATGCTTTCCGCGACCTCCAAACTAGGCGATTGTTTTGGAAGTGTATCTGGTGTCCCTGCTAGCTTGTTCGCTCTCTGCTTCCAGACACTGGTGAATCCACCAGGGAACCCTGGTGCTGCTCGGATGCTCTGCCAGAGCTGCTGCTGGTGCGTCCAATGCTTTTGGGTCCATGCCTGTGAACGCAGGCGTGCTATGTAGCTTTGCAACCTTCTGAGCTGCCGGCACCATTTTGCAAACTGAAATGACTCTCCTAGATACTCAATCTGGAAATCGTTCTTGCGGTTTGGCTTCCATGGCGTGTATGGCACCTGGATTCTAAAAGGCTTGGTGGCAAGGCATCGTCCTCTTTGTGCACTGATCAAACCTGGGTGGCCTTGGCTTTGCAATTGCTGATGTACCTTCTCCTCCATGGACTGAAAAACTTGTGCAATGGTAGTTGGCGGGTTACCCTCCCAATGCAAATCAGCTTCAATTTCATCCCATGGAAGTGGCAGTGGTTTTGGCCACACTGGTACTTTCTCAAAGTCCCCAAACGCACGAAATCTACCAAAGACAATGGAATGGTCGGCAAAATACGTGTCATCAACAACGACCTCTTCCAAGAGGGCTGCTAATTCACTGGAAACCCAAACATGGTCTTTTACTGTTTTCCTGTGACAAGTTGCTGTGATTTCTCTTCCCCACCTGGTGTTGGCTATCTCCTGCAACTCTCGAAAGCCATGTGCTTTCCACAGTGCAAACTGTGGTAAATCCACTGTCGTTTGGTTGAAATCCCCGCAGATGGCTCGGAGACCCCTGCTGTTGAAGACAATTCTGTTTGTGAGGTGGCTAAGGAGTTCATCAGTTTTCGTTTTGGTGGCTTTGGTATGTGCATCCTTGGCAAACCCATAAAAGGCACCTATCTTCAACCATCGCTGCTGTACATGGACTGCTGCTGCTTGGATGCGTCCTGTGCTCCAACTCGGTTTGTCCCATTTCCCTGCCAGGGCTCTGACAGGTTGATTGCTCAAAACGCCTACTCCAGTTGCTTTGCCCCCAATCACCCCTGGTGTTGACGTGACTGGGGGGGCCATGGCTCCAGGAACAAAATTCTATTTTTGTTGCATGCATGCTAGTTCCTGCCGGAATTTGGGCATTCCTGCGGCTGTGAGGTGTGTTTCTGCTAACGCCCAAACATGTGGTTCCTCCTGGTGAGGAAACTCTTGGAAGAAATGCCCTTTCCCGATGGCACCATTTGGGTTGGCGGTGCCAATGACAGGTCCAGGGTTCATTGCTTCACCTATACGTGCAAAAACCATCAAAAGGATGAACTTAAAGAAAGCCAAAAAGGTAGTGCCATAACTGCAGCTTCCGGGGGTGCAGGAACTTCGCCTACTTCTATCCCAAAATCTACCATGGTCACTCTGCTTTGCTGGTGGCTTACGCCAGGGCTCGGATGCAAAACTGGTACTTGCTGATGGTGGCGTCAGCTTCCCTGGATGAGAAGCCTGCCGTAACTGTCACTCCATTCTGCGGTACTTTGTGAGCAAGCTTTCGATCTGTGTCAATTGCTCCTGCAGTTTGGTATCAAAGTGCGCATGCAATGCTTGAGACTGGTGTTCAACCTGATGTTGGATCTGTCCAATCTGGCCTTCCACTTGCTGGTTGTGTTTTGCCTGTGCTGCCTGGGTGTGATGCATGGTGTCTTCCAACTGAGTCAATCTGTCCTCCAAGCTGGCAATCTTGTCGGCCTGCATTGAATCCATTTCCATGCCGGTGGTGCTGACAAAGGCTTTGGGGTATGCTACCTGAAGGTTGGTTTGGACCTTGGCTGCAATGGCATCTACATGCTCCTGGCTTACCTGACTGGGGCGACTGGCACGGCTGATCTTTGGCGGGGTTTGCCAACTGCTCCAAGGGTCTGCATTCGCCCATGGGTCTTCCTCCTCTTGGCTCTCTGGGAGAGTAGTGCTGGATAATGCTGAAATTGTCTTGACCGATCCCTGGATATCGGTGCTTGGTTGATGAGCTCTCTGATTCTTCTTGGGCACCTCGGAAATCAGTACATCTGCATGCTCCATTTGATACACCTCAAAGGGTGCCCTGTGAACTGCTTGGACTTCCCAGATTACTCCCTTTCCATTGGGGGTACGCTGCTTAGGCTGACTTGGGCGTGCTTGCCAACCCCACTGCTGAAAAACCTTTGTTAGGGCATGCACGGTTTGCTCCATGAGGGAATGGTCCTACTCGGAAATTCAGGATGTCATCTGACTCCAGGAATGGTGTCATTGGCTTGTGCTGCTGGTGTACTTCCCGGGCGTGTTCTTGTAACACTCGCAGGCCAAACCTAATCCCAGACCTCACTATGCTGTTCCACTGCTGGGTGCTTTGGGATGCCAACACCGATGCTTGACGATCAGACTTGTTGAGCCAGATGACTCGGAAGTTGTCACACGGGGCTCTTCCATCTGGCGATCTTGGCTCAATGTAGTAACCCTCTCCTCCAATGTCTTGCAAGACTTCAGTCAGCTTGAGGTTCTCCACACGAAACATGCCATAAACACGGAGGACTGCTTCGGGTGGGTCTTCTCAAATCTTTCATTCAGATACTGCCGATCCCAAATGTCAATGATTGGGTTGTGCCTTCCCTCCGTCTGAAGAAATGAATGAGCCTCAATGACATGACGGATTGGTCTGGCAATGAATTTGTCCCAAGTGGTGCTGGTCAATTCGTCCTTGTAGGCAACAATTCGGATGGCCTCAGCTGTAACCTCTTCAACCTTGGCTCCCTGGGGAGCCTGGATTTTGGAAACTTCAACAGCCCCTAACTGGATGATACGTGCTGTGATCAACATTGCTTCACCAGTTTTCTCACACCTCGCTGGGAATCTGATCTCTTGGCCTGATCCTTGGATTGCCATGTCACGGTGGTCAAGGACAATCATGGCAAGTCCATGCTGGGAAATTGGCTTCCGAAGCTTCAAGTATGGGATGGCATTGGCTGCCTGGCAGACTACGATTTCTTTGGCTTGGGGTCCAATGCTAGCCAGTGGGATTTGCGTGAGGTTTGTCTGGTGTGCATCCTTAAAGATACCTTCAGTGATTCCTACATCCTCTGGCATCAATTGGATGAATCTCTTGGCTTGCTTGTCACCTTTGAGCTTACGTCTCTTGTCTCCAATCGGCTCACCTTGTTCTGCTCGCTTGGCAATGGCTGCCTGCAATTCTGATTCCATTACTAACTGCAGCTTCGGAGTTGCATGATTGGCGGCTGCTTTGAGGTCTTTCCATGGGGTGGCGGCTCGAAAGATCCTTGCAACTGCCTGCCTCCCTAGTTTGTCCATGACTGTTGTGGCTCTGTGTGCGCAGAGATCTTCTGGTACTCCATGGTCTTTCAGCAAGGCTTGCAGTTGGCTACTGAGATCAACCCCACTAACTCCTCCAAAGCTCAGATTGGCTGGGACAACCGTTGCAATGTCAGACCCTCTGCTGTGCAAGGCATGTTCAAAGAGTGTTCGCCAGACAATGGCATCTTTGACTGACACAGGTGGTGTTCGGAAACCTTCACTGCAAAATTCTTTGTCCATGACTGCACTGGTTATCCATGCTACTGCTTGAAAACCGCAATCATTCGGTATGCCACTTTCAATGAGGGAGCCTTGGCATGTGATCATCACCGGCTCATTGAAGTACTGCCTGGCTGCAATCAAAGCCCAATCATGTCCTCCAGATGTTGTGAAAAAGGCGATTTTCCCTTGGTGTGCCCTTACCATGAGGGGGAACCAGTGTCCATCAACCAGCAAAGCGGAAGCTTGGGTGATCTCATGTGCATCGTGTGACATCATCGGTTGCAACCAGTTTCCCAAAAGATGTGTCAGTTCGCCATCTTCAATGTCATCGGGGATAAGACACAGTGGCATGGCCTTGACTACACCTGTGGATGCTACGATTTGGAGATAAAACTCCATCTCATCATTGGCTACCCATGCACCTTGTTGATAAAGTAACTGCAGCGAGGCCTCTGGCAGGGGTATTCAGAAAGGAGTTCGGCTGGGAGAGTTCCATGAGCTGGCTGGCAACCAAAGCTAGACATCTCTCGCAGAAAAATCTGCTGCATCGGCGTGGTGACTTCTGCTGATCTGATTTGTGTACCCACCGCAGTGGTAATTGCAATTGCTGGTGTCATTGCATCCAACTTGGCTTCAGCAACTGCGATGGATCCAACCGATGCGTCAGCTGAAATCTTTATCTGCGATGGCTGTTTGTCACCCCAACGAATCACCTGGATAGTATGCGTGACACTGTCATCCATGTGTTCCTCTGGATCGTGCTGTGTTGGTGGCATTACTGGATCAACCTTGTCAATGTCCATCTTCAAGTCCTGAGTGAATGATCCATCAGGTTGGTGGTCATCTTCAGCTGGTCTAGTCAATGCTGAGGCTTCATCTTGCTGTGCTGGCTTTGCGGCTTGAGCTGTGCTCAGGTCTTCAGCTTTCACTGACGGGTTGCAATGGACTGACATGTGTGCTGCTGTGGCAAAAGCAGGGGTTCCTCCTTGGTTCCGCTGGATTTGGTTTGCTAGTTGCTTGACATTGCTTTGCTGCATTGCTTGGATCGGCTCAGCTGCTGCATGAAGACTTGAAATGTGCCTATCTTTGGTCCAATGGTCATTTTACTGTCCTGCTTGGTACGGTTGTACCCCAGGGTAGGCAAGGCCAGTGTCACCGGATGTGACATCCGGCTTGGCATGCATCGGCAAAGGTTCCTTAGTTGGCACAGCAGTGATGTTTCTGTCAGTGGTTGATGCAATCCCGGTTTCACCTTGCATGAAGGCTGTACAAATCTTCGGCTGAAACGGCTGTACAGGCAACGGATGCAGGCTTTGCAAATCATCGGCAGGTTGGCTTGGCTGGCAAAGGTTGGGTGATGTTTCTGGCAGGGGGTTCGGTTTTGGGGAGGGGCCAGGTGCACCGGGTGTGCTTTCTCCTGGCATGGCCTGAAAAGACATAGGTCCAAGGGGTTTCAGGGTCCCTTCCGGATCTTGGTCTTGCAGGTCCTGGCGTCCTGCTCGCTGGCTGTTTGTTTCTGAATCCGTTGTTTTCTTCAAATTTTCTAGGTCCTTGCGTCCTGTCTGCTGGCTGGTTGATGAATCTTCTTTGGGTTCTTTTGGTTGCAGGTCCTTGCGGCCTGGCCGCTGGCTGTTTTCAGTTTCTTGATTTGCCCCAATGGGCCAGCTGGCAGGCGCTGCTTTGGCGCTTGCACTGTCTGCCAAGGCTATGTACAATCGGTGGATGTATGCCTGTACATTCGGATGCTCAATCAAGGCCGGATGCGTACACTGGACAGACTCAAAGATTCCCTGAAAGTGCTTCCAGAGACTGGCTTCCGGATGACACGGGGTGTTGTCAAGCAAGCACTGTGATTGAAACTGGCTGACGATCCATGCTGCTTGAACCGGGCTTGCCATTTGTCCTAATCCACTGATTCCTAAGCGAAGGCTAGGTTTTCATTTCTTGTTTGGGTCACCCCCATGGATCCAACAAATTTCCCACGGATGCATGTGCCTTGTTTTGGGAAGCAGCCCCAAATAGGACTGGTATTCACCCTGAATTGGGATCAAAGCTCCAAACAACCCTTTTGATTTCAATCGCTGCTCTGAAAAGGCATACTGTCGGCACCCGCAGGGGCATGCTATCAGTTGAACAGACCAACCATGAAGTGCTGTCTTTACCACCTGATTGAGCATGACCATGTTAGAATGAATCCCTCCAAACTCCTGGAATTTGTTGGTTTCATACAGGTCTAGTGACAACTGTTGGAGGTCTTCACAATCCCATGTGGGACAGAATGGCAGCATGTCACCCAAAACCGGTGGAATGGCAAGTTTCGGCAAAGGGATCAGGTTCACCTGGGGCAACGTGGCGTTGGCGAGCAAACGCCACCACCTATCTCGTCGTGCTGGAAGCAAATCAGATAGACTCAAATCAACCTGGGCAACTTTGAACTGTGTGAGTGCACAAAACTGACTGATGACCTTCTGGACCTCTACGTCCTTTCCAGCCCCTTGAACGCACTCTAAAAGGACAGAATGCGCTCTCAGCCAATGTGCTGCCCTAAGAGTGCTCACTAGCACCCCTGATCTTGGGTCTTCTGACTTACCCTGATCCCCCAAAGCTGACCATGGTTGGCATGCGAAACCGGATGTCATCAGGCAAGGGCCTGGATGCATTGCATGGATTCTGGCAATTACGGATGGATCGGCTATGTCGCCTGTGATCATGCTCGGTTGGCCTTGCTGTGCATGAAAATTGGCCCATGCAGGTCGAAGGTCATTCATTGCCTGAACTCTGACCTGACATGACTTCAAACCCTCTCCTAACATGCCAATGCCCGCACATAGTTCAATACCATTTGAATACATCTCTTCGGTGGGAGTTTGTAAACCCAATTTGTAGGCCTTCTCAACGTTCAATTGAACCCTTTTCCCAACAGCAGTGACTTCAGCTTGGAGGAATGAATAGCTGGGGATGTTGCTCAAGGTTCCCTTCACCACATCAGTTTCTGGTCCAATGATGTTCGAAAAAGATGTTGAGGGTCAAACACAACGATCTCCGCCTGGATGTCCACCAAATCCCCAACAGCTAACTTATCCCAAGAAGCGGTTAACCCTAAGGACTTCAAACCCATGGCACGAAGACTCACCCAAGCGATTAGCTCGCTCCACCACACGACTGGAACGTGCTCGGGCCCGTGGCTATACTATTGTCTTTTGCAGCTGAAGATTGTAAATTGTATTGGAGTGGCTGCATCCAGGCTGCGATAGTGATTTGTCAGCAGATTTTCGCAATTTTGGCGCTAGTAATTTTGCTTTTAAAAATCCTTTTAAAAAGTGCTTCAAAATTGTCTTTTTTCTGCTTTGGCGTCAAATCCGGTTTTGGAGCTGCAATTTCCGACGCCGTTGCGCGTAGTTCTATTGTGTACAAAGTGGTACTGGAAAGTGTTTTGTGCAAGCTTTGTAGTACGAAGTAGTACTGGAATGTGTTTTGTGCAAGCTTTGTAGTACAAAGTAGTACTGGGAAGTAGTTTGTGCAAGCTTTGTCGCGCAAAGTAGTACTGGGAAGTAGTTTGTGCAAGCTTTGTCGTACACAGTAGTACTGGGAAGTGCTTTGTGCAAGCTTTGTAGTACAAAGTAGTACTGGGAAGTGTTTTGTGCTAGCTTCGTAGTACACAGTAGTGCTGGAACGTGTTTTGTGCAAGCTTTGTGGTACAAAGTAGTACTGGAACGTGTTTTGTGCAAGCAGTGTAGTACAAAGTAGTACTGGGAAGTGCTTTGTGCAAGCTTTGTAGTACAAAGTAGTACTGGGAAGTGCTTTGTGCAGATTTGTAGTACAAAGTAGTACTGGGAAGTGTTTTGTGCAAGCTTTGTAGTACAAAGTAGTACTGGGAAGTGCTTTGTGCAAGCTTTGTAGTACAAAGTAGTACTGGGAAGTGTTTGGTGCAAGCTTTGCAGTACAAAGTAGTACTGGGAAGTGCTTTGTGCAAGCTTTGTCGTACACAGTAGTGCTGGAACGTGTTTTGTGCAAGCTGTGTAGTACAAAGTAGTACTGGGAAGTAGTTTGTGCAAGCTTTGTGGTACAAAGTAGTACTGGAACGTGTTTTGTGCAAGCAGTGTAGTACAAAGTAGTACTGGGAAGTGGTTTGTGCAAGCTTTGTAGTACAAAGTAGTACTGGGAAGTGCTTTGTGCAAGCTTTGTGGTACAAAGTAGTACTGGGAAGTAGCTTGTGCAAGCTTTCTAGTACAAAGTAGTACTGGGAAGTGAAGTGTGCAAGCTTTGTAGTACGAAGTAGTACTGGGAAGTGCTTTGTGCAAGCTGTGTAGTACCAAGTAGTAATGGGAAGTGTTTTGTGCAAGCTTTGTAGTACAAAGTAGTACTGGAACGTGTTTTGTGCAAGCTTTGCAGTACAAAGTAGTACTGGGAAGTAGTTTGTGCAAGCTTTGTAGTACAAAGTTGTACTGGGAAGTGCTTTGTGCAGATTTGTAGTACAAAGCAGTACTGGGAAGTGTTTTGTGCAAGCTGTGTAGTACAAAGTAGTACTGGGAAGTAGTTTGTGCAAGCTTTGTGGTACAAAGTAGTACTGGAACGTGTTTTGTGCAAGCAGTGTAGTACAAAGTAGTACTGGGAAGTAGTTTGTGCAAGCTTTGTAGTACAAAGTAGTACTGGGAAGTGCTTTGTGCAAGCTTTGTAGTACAAAGTAGTACTGGGAAGTGTTTTGTGCTAGCTTTGTAGTACAAAGTAGTACTGGAACGTGTTTTGTGCAAGCTGTGTAGTACAAAGTAGTACTGGGAAGTGGTTTTTGCAAGCTTTGTGGTACAAAGTAGTACTGGAACGTGTTTTGTGCAAGCAGTGTAGTACAAAGTAGTACTGGGAAGTGGTTTTTGCAAGCTTTTGTAGTAGATACAGTACTGGGAAGTACTTGACATGAAAATAGCCAAGAAGAACTTAGCTGACATATGGGAAACAGCGAATGCGTGCGTGAATTCATTTTAGATGTTTTTGGCTTTGCATGGATGCTGGCTAGCATGTGATACGTGGATTGCTTCTAGATATGTTTTGTACAAACATGCTTTTCAGAATATGTCCTGGAAAAGGGGTTCCATGGAAGTTGTGAAAAAAAGGTATGATGACAAGACACGATTTGAAGCTGTGGGCATCTGGCTCAAGTTGTTCTGCTATTTTTCATGTCAATGAAGCAAGCAGACATGTGATGATACTCATGCATCAACAGCACAGAAATGAAGCAACGGCATGACTTTCAAAGACTGTCACAGGCAAATGCTGATCTGATGTATGTATCATGTGTTAACTCATTTCTTGATTGGATTCTCCAAAGGAATATAGTTCGTGCGTGAGCAAGTTCCGCGGCAGTGCGGCCCGGACTTGCGAGCGCGCGGCGCGCAATGTCTGGGCACGGCAGTGCGGCCTGCTCACTGACACGTCCTGCAGCCATGGTGGAACTGGATGCTTTTAAGCAGCTGCTGTCATATATCGAGAAAGAAACAGAGACATTGAAGCTTCTGCGATGCAAGACTTGAAAGAATGTTTACTGACCGGAAAAGCAAGTCGCAAACGTGACGGAAATCTTGAACGATGGAGGCATTACAAGATGTACCTTGCTCTTGAGAAGAAGATGTCGCCAGAGCAAAGACGCGTGCTTGAAGAATGGGAAAGAACAAATTGCGTGCAAGAAGCTGTGGGACTGCAACCCGCCTTTCAGAACTTTTGCAGCGTTGCAGAACAGCATGTAGATGCGATGAGAGCGTTGGGAAAACCTACATTGGAAGAGGTCTGCTTAAGTGTTGCCGCGAGAGAGAATAGTGTTTGGGGAGGCGTTTGTCGTCCTTTTGCATTAAGGCATCCACATGAGACTTTCAATGAGCAAGAAAAGGGAAAGTGGAAGGAGCTGGAGGAGCGCATATGTGTGGATGATAGTCCCGTGCAGCAACAGTTTGATCGTTTCATGCAGTGTGGAGTGTGAAGAGTGCAGTGGGAAGTGTGAAGGGGCGAAGTGGAGCTTCAAATGTGACATGTGAAACAGGACGCCACTTTCGCAGAGTGCACACACGCACGGGCTTGGCTGGCGCACGGCACATGCAAGTTCTATAGATGAGAAAGGTCTTATATATATATATAATATATATATATATCTATATATATATATATAAGGCAACTTCCGCCCCGCCTCGTGCGGGTACTACTGGTATTCTAAATATTTTCCTTAAAATTTTTATATAGAATATTAAAAGAATTTTTGTAGAATATATTGTAATGAGCGTGAACGTGATTGATTTAAGTAATGAAGCAGTAAAAGAAGAAACACCAACACTTGAAACAACTGAAAAAGCAAAAGAAGAAATACTTGAGCCTGAACCAACAAATGAAGTTGTTGAAGAAGCAAATGAACCACCAAAAGAAGAAGTGAAAGAAGAGAAACCAAAACGGCAAACACAAAAGGATAGAATACAATTTCCTAAATGTCTTAAAGAAGTCTCATTAAAGACATACAGATATACTCTTTCGAAAAAAACTCAGGTGGAAAACTGTGAGATAAACCCAATACCAATCCACGACCAAAAGCAAAACAACAAGCGAAACCAAAACAAGCTCCCAAACCCCCTCCTGAAACATATTACTCAGAGAGTAGTAGTGGAGAAGAAGTAATAGTAAAGAAAAAGAAGAAACAACCAGCACATCAACCGATAAACCCTACAACAGCATTAGCACAACACTACCAATTTTTACAAAATCAAATGATACAACAGAAGCAACAACGATATAATAATCTTTGTATGAATATGTTTTCTTCAAAAACATAAAAAATATGATATAAAATATATTCTATAATAATTATATTCATGGGTTCATTACAATTAGACGGAGGCAATACCATAATAGGAACAGAGTTTAT